CCAATTGATGACGCAGCTGCCTTTGCAGTGAAGTAAATCACATAATCATCAAACTGCTTTGGTTTCTTTGTTCTTTGAGATCGCCTGACCACTGAAGCACTATCTTCTTCAATCCTGTCTAAGTCTTTGTCATCTACTATTTTACTTTCATCAGTTCGACTACATTTATCCGTCTCCCACTTAAACTCTTGACTCTGGCTTGATTCAAACTGAGTTTTCTCCTCTTCTTTCGGAAAACTAATCTCACGCTTCACATCTTTTTCAAAAATATGAACATCTCTGCTTGTGGAGATCTGTCTGGTTTCTGGATCATACAACCTGTAGCCCTTCGTAGTTCCCGAAAAACCAACTAGGATTAGCTTTTTTGACTTCTTATCCCATTTCGGTCTTTTCTCTTTGGGTACATGCGTCATGGCTGGACTTCCAAAAATTCTGATGTGACTCAAATCAGGCTTTTTACCGTGAAACGTTTCATATGGAGTTTTTTGCAAGCTGCTTACCACAGATCTGTTTCGTAGATAACAGGCTGTATTTACCGCTTCTGCCCAAAAAATTTTCTCCAAGCCAGTTTCATAAAGTAGACATCTGGCTTTTTCAACCAACGTTCTGTTGAGTCTTTCAGAAAGCCCATTCTGCTGCGGAGTGTAGATGTTTGTAGTCTGATGAATAATGCCTTTTTTTTCAGGTACGGCTGGAACTCAGCATTCACATATTCCTTGCCATTATCGGTACGAAAAACTTTGATCTTCCTATTGAGCTGATTTTCCACCATGCATTTGAATTCCTTGAATTTTTGAGAGGTTTCATCCTTAGACTTCAAAAAATAAACAAAGAACATTCTGCTAAAATCATCCTGCATCGTTGGAAAGTATTTAGACCCACCTATGGATGTTGTCTCCATTGGTCCTGCTAATTCGCTGTGAATTACATCTTAAAGTCCAGATGCTCTGGTTCCACTGTGATTGAAGGGTTGACGAGTCTGCTTCCCCTCACAACACACTTCACAGTAAGTTTTTTCAATGTTTACCTGTCCACTGTAGTTCACACCATCAACTAACCCATCTCTCATTTTGTTTAAGTAGGTCGAGTTAATATGGCCCATTCTTTTGTGCCAAACTTCCACCAGATACAGCTTTTGCTTGTCCAGCGAAACTAGCCTTTTTCAAAAATTCCATTTTGTACACACCATTTGTCATGATTGATTCAGCCACCAGCACATTGTCACAGTTTAGATCTTACAATCCTTCTCAAAATTTACCATGTTTCCATTTTCGAGCAATTTACTCACTGACAGTAAATTGGTAGTGAGATCAGGAACATATTGAACATTTCTGATTTCAATCTCAAAGTTTCTCTTGGTGTAAACTTCGACTTCACCACCACTGTGCACTGGGAGTTTTGTGTTGTTTGCAACCACAATTTCTTTCGTTAAAGAATATCTCTGGTTGATTAACCAATCATCCCTGCATGTTAAGTGAAAACTCGCACCAGAATCTATGTACCAATCTCCATTGTCAAACTGTGAGCTCAAGAAAACAGCACTAAATGCACTCCTAGCTTTGTTGTTTTCACCGCTCTTGTCTGATTTCTGAGGACATCTAGACATATAATGGCCCGATTTCTTGTATTTATAACAAATTATTGCACTTTTGTCTTTGTTGTTTACATTCTGCGATCTATTTAGATTCTGCTGTCGTTTTTTACTTTGACAGCCCTGACACTGGCAGCTCTAACTGTGACGACTGCCACTATTGCTCCCACTGCTATTGCTATATCTACTGACAAACGCACCGGAAGGTGTGCTGCCATCCTGTGACATATCGAGCAACTTGGTTTTAATTTGGTCAGCTGTTATATCGATTTCGCTGTGCTCTAACGCCATTAACATTGGTGAATAACGTTCCGGCAAACCAGCTAACAACAAACTACCAACAAGTGATGTATCCAACTTAAGTCCTGTTCGATCAAGTTTCTGTGATGTCTCGATCACTTGATTCACATATTCTTCCATGGATGAGCAATTTTCCAACCTCAAGGAAATTAGAACACGTAGCAAGCCAATTTTTCTTGAAAAACCCTTGTTTTCATACAGGTCCCTCAGTCTATCCCAGACATCCTTAGCTGTTTCCGCTTCCTTGACGTGGACAAACAAGGATGGCTCCAGGGATAACACTATCTTCGCCTTAGTCTTAGAACACTGCACCGTATCAGTATCTGTGCCTTCTAAAATAAGGAAGTTTTCCATTGCATACCTCATTCTTCATAATTTTCACGTCGTCTTAGCTTTGGAATCGTCGATAAGTAACTGGCGGCCCTTTTGTACCTCAAAAAAACACGGTACTGCACAACTGTACTGTCTTTCGATTTTTACGGTCAACTGCTCCTCTTTTCTGCTGATGGCGGAGAAAAAATACACTGAGCTCGCGTAATGGGACCTAGTTATTGCGTCCTGGACCCATAACCTGTTGAAATAACGATGGAAAGTGGAAATAATAACCTGAACACATTAACACGCCTATGACGTTTTATTAAACTCATCTACAACTGTCTGGTACAATATGTGGCGTTGCCAGTTTTACATTAGATGGCGCGACCAACACAAAATAATACACCAAAAAACTATATCTAGATCAAATATTGCATTTTGTTAAAAAAAAAATTATAACTTCGGTTCAATCAGGTTTCCGAAAATTTCATAGCATCACTACAACTTTACTAAATATTACCAATGACACTCTCACTTCAATTGATAAGGGCCAACTAGTTTACTCGACTCTACTAGATTATAGTAGGTGTTCACCATCACTGATTGTAATGTTTTATGTGATGAACTTCTATATTATGTTTTTTTTCAGGAAGCTTGTGCGCTTATTCGTAAATACCTATTTATGGGAATGATGTCAGTAGGTAGTAGTTGGTTCATTAAAGTCAGATGCCCAGTGAATTTCGGAGTGTCTCAAGGATCAATCTTGGAACCTACTCTTTTTTCTATCTATATTTAAGATTTTCATGAGTGTCTGAAGTTCTGTACTATCCACCACTATGCCGACGATATCAATTATACCTAGACTTTACAAGCAATTCAATCCTTTCAGCAACTTCGAAAATTGAAGAAGACATTATCTCTATACAATATCTCAACCACACATATTCTCACACTCAATCCATTGAAGTCAGTAGTGATGTTTCTCGGATTAAATCAAAACGTTATCAGCTAACTCAAGGTTAGCACGAATGCCGTTGACCCTTGTAAGTGTAATCAAAAACCTAGATCTGTAGTTTGATGTTGACCTAAGATTTACCAAGCACATCAGCTACCTCTACCAGAGCTCGTTCAATATTCTGAGACAGTTGTATCCTAGTCATGATTTGTTATCTACTAAAATGAAACTTGAGTTGTGCAAATTGTTGGTGATTTCTAAATTATAAGGAATAGAGCTGTATTTCGTGTAAATAATTTACACGAATTTGCAATTTACAAATAAATTATTTACACGAAATAAAACTCTATTCCTGATTTATCAGTCATGTGTATGCAGCTTTGACAGAGCTCACATTATCCTTTTGCGATAGTATATATAGTTCAGCACTTCTACAGGCTGATGCAGCTAGATTATGAAAAAATTCAAAATTCCTGCTTACGTTTTTCTCATTGAATACGGAAATTTGTTCATATTAGTATGAAATATAAAGAAATAGGGTGGCTCAAATAAGATAACTTCCGAAAACTCCATTGACTTACTGTGACGCACAAAGTTTCAACATCTGGCAAATCTACGTACCTCCTTAATAGACTTATGTTTAAAAATCTCAATAAGGTGAACACAAGAAAAACTAATATGCTAGTTGTTCCCAAACACTCAAGTGCACTATACCAATTTTCTTTTACACATTCAGCATCCAAATTTTATAACACTCTTCCCAAGGAGTTTTGGAACTTCTCTTTGTATAATTTCAACAGATGAAAATTATACTTCAGTCGCTATAGATTTGTTTTTAAGACGGACCTGTATATGATAATTATTTACGCTATGGTTATAAATAAGGTGGAAAATATCTTTGAAAAATTTAAGCACCAATTTATTTCGACTTTCAAACTTTTATACTTTTTTATATTTACACTAGTATAAATTGTTCTAAAATAAGTAGATTGAGTGTTTTTGAGTATTTTTGATCATATATACGCTATTTCTCAAATATTGCTTGCATAATTTTCCCTGATTTATTTTTTTTGCAAGGTTAAATTGAAAAGCAGCCTAGGCTGACACTCCACCTGTTCGTCGACACTTAATTATTGTTCTGATTTTTTTATTTTATTCTTATTATGTTGATGAATAAAGACAATTATTATTTTTATTGTTTTTATTTTTTAGATTCGAAAAGTAACATTGCAAATTATTTAAATAAGTTTGGGTATCGACTGAAAGTGATGCCTTTACTCCAATACTGTACTGTAATTGATAGATTTGTTTCTCTTAAACTATTAATGGTTGCATATGAACTCACTTTTTTTTCACATAGACAATGGGACCATCATTTCGATTCATGTTTTAATACCAGGTTATGCTCCGCATAACCTGGTATTTTAACATTACCAATATTTTCAGTATTTCAGGTTTTGGACAAAACTATCATATCGACATGATCGATCAAAATTTTTGTTTACACTTCTGATATTGAAATGTAAAATTGAAAACATATTTTTTTGCAGCCCCTATTCATTTCAAAGTGCTCTTGAAAATTTTCATATTCACTTGTTTCCACCATTTCTCTCTCATCCAGTAAATCAAGAAATTTCAACATATTGCAAGCGCAGTAAAATAATCAAAAAATGAACATAGGTAGTTCAAGCACACTTCCGAAAAAAAACTTAAAATTTCATTATAATGTTGTTCATTCAGTTCACACATTTGAAACAAATGTAGATTTCATGAATGATTTTGTTCAATTCCAGAAAATATATATTTTGTTCAAATAGAGATTGCATAAAGAATGAAGGCTTTCTGGCAATAGGTAATATGAACGTTTCTCATATGTTTATTCAATAAGGACTAGATTATAACCATCTATCACGATTATTTCTTTACATTTCTTCATAAGCTAAATATACATATATTATATTTCTCTGTATTAGCAAAATATACACTCTAGAATTCTATATGAACATAAAGTGGTACAATAGAATGAAAGAACAATAACAAATTATTGTATACTGAATAATTTGAATAACAAAAAAACTTTGAAATATCTTGAGTGAATCCTGGGCATTTCACTGAGTCAACACAGCTATTGTGCTGTTATAGTTTGATGTTGATTTGAATTTGACCTCTAGAAAGAATTAAAAATAATAAAAATATACAATGACTGGTATTTTCTTCAGGTACAACAATATTAGGTATAAATTAAGAGATTTATGAGATTCTATACAACAATCTACTGTACCTTCCTAACCTAAACTTTGGTACTTAACATAACACAACTGTAAATCCCCATCAAGGAGTATACGGAGGAGGCGGTAAGCAGTACGGAGGAGGAGGTGTGGGGCTATGGAAAGTGTCCAAATTGTCATCAAATGCATCTAAAAGACATCTGTCATCATCTCTGAAGTAAGTGGACGTTCGAATGGGAAGAAGTGTATAGACAATACCACAGCAAGTGACACCACCTAAAATAATTATCATTTTTATAAATAAGCACCAGGTACTTCATTTATTGATCTATTTTGGGTCATTTTTACTTCACGAGTAACTTAGTAGTAAAAATTGGTATTTTCACTTTAAGAGAATTTCATAATGAAAAAAGGAGTTTCCCATTGAGGAGTTGTCATCGCCATACTCATGACAACCCACAGAAGTCGAAACTTTTGTAAGAAATAATCAATGAAATGTCATTTCATAATACACAATGGGCTCCTTTAACAATTTTTTTTCATTTCATAATTTGAAAGTTTATGTTTCAAATAGTACATCTGGGAAAAATCTGAATTTTCACTGTTTATCTTCCCCCTTAAATTAATTGTTGAATGTGGCGTTCACCAAAACGGGGCGTGGTCAAGCTTGACGTCACATCAGTCGACTCGGCGACAAGGGAGTGCTGGCTGGCGGAATACGTGTGCTAAAGCCGTAGAAAGCAAGTTGGGTGTTGTTTTTTGCAGAGTGTCAACTGCGTGAATATGAATAATGATAAAAAATGACGTTACAAGTATTGCATCGTTCCTAAATGTAAGAATTCTTTGGTAAAAGTATCTATAATAGATTTAGGTAAAAGCTAACTGATATAATTTTCTATGTAAAACAAAAAATTATATCTATCCAAACTCTAAAAATGGTATTCATACAATTCAACCTCATCTCATTGGAAAAAATTGAGAGGAGGCATACAGGGTGTTTCAAATTCGATCCACACCATTGGGATCTCGGAAACTATGGTTAAATTGGGGTAAAGTTGCTCATTTATCTAACAATATGCCGTTGAGAAATGTGATATATTCACGAGTTTTTCTAATGACAATAAAAACTCGCATACCGAAGTATGAAAAATCCGAATGCGAATCAAGGTCATATTGCTGGCCATTCAGAAATAAACGTTTGAAGAAAGCGGTCACCGTTTTATTTTCCCCAACCAGAGTATATGACGACTGTCGACGAGTAGTGTTACACTTCAAAATAAGTGTCAGAACCCACAAATCTAATTATTTTTAAAATAAAGATTTTGCTGAAAATTTCAAAATGCAGAATCCATCTTATTACGGACAAATACCAGAATTCAGTGCTCAAGATAGTGACTGGGGAATATATAAACGACGGCTAGATAATTATTACTTGGTGAACGCTATTACGGATGATGCCAAGCAGAAAGCAATTTTACTTAATGCTCTTGATGAAGATGCATGCAAGTTGATGTACAATCTATGTTTGCCAGGATTACCTGAAAACAAAACGTACAAGGAACTTACGGAAATATTCGATAAATATTTTAAGGTATCCGAGTCTCTTTTTGTGGCAAGATTTAAGTTAGAGAAAACTCCATTTATTATTGATATTTGTATAGACGACAAAATGTATGCTTTCCAGCTGAACACTGGAGCTAGTATTTCAGCTATGTCTGAAACGTTTCATAAAAAAATTTTTCCAATTGTTACCCCCAGATAAAAGCTTGTCGGCTTGACGAGAAAATGCTAGCTTTGGGAATATGGAAATTAACTATGTATTTCCTTTAATGATACTGTTAAAGATTTGAATATTTTTGTTATAAAACAGGATGGTCCTCCTATTCTCGGTAGAGATTATATGTCTCTGTATGATTTTGGTATAGATCAAGTAAATGTTTCAAACGACTCTGATATTAGTAATTCAATGCAAAAATTTGAAGACGTTTTTTCTCCCGGTTTAGAGGCATTCAATAAGGGTAATAAGGGTACTGAAATTAAAAGATCAAGACATTTCACCAAAATTCATAAAAGCACACCCCGTTCCTTTTGGAATAAGGGATGAAGTTGAAGCGGAATTAGCTAATTTAGAAAAGTTAGGTATAATCAAACCTGTTGATTATTCACCGTGGGCGACACCGATCGTACCCGTGATTAAAAAATCAGGATCCGTTCGAATTTGGGGTGATTTCAAAATAACCTTGAACCCTGTTTCAGAAATGAATCAGTTTCGACTACCACGCATTGAATATTTATTTTCAAAATTGCAAGGCGGTGTTATCTTTTCGAAAATAGACCTTTCACAGGCGTATGCACAATTTTGTTTAGACGAAAAGTCCAAGGTTTTGGTTATGATTTCAACTCATAAGGGTCTTTTTCAATATCAAAGATTTCCGCATGGTTATTGCATCCGCTCCTGCAAAATTTCAAAAAATAATGTCTTCTCTAACACAGGATATTCAGGGGTGTGTGTGTTTTTTAGATGAAATCTTGATATGTGGAAAGGATCGAAATAAACACTTAGATAGATTAAAGCAGTTAATTGAAAGATTGTACAATGTTGATATGGAAGTTAGGCCGAAAAAATGTAGTTTTTTTTTCATGAAAAAATAATTGCCATAAAAAAATGCAACCGCTCCAAAAAATCCAAAAGTATTTCAGTCGGTCTTAGGTATGATCAATCATTAGGGAAATTTTGTTATTAATTTGGCAACGCTACTTCACCCGTTATATAATTTATTTAAANATCAAGAAGCAAAACCTTAGAACAAGATTCAGTACTTTGAAACCCGACATTTTGGATAGAGTTAGAGAAAATGTTACAGAAAAGCATGAAAAATCAAATTGAAAATTTTGGTGGCAGGACGAGAGGCATGTTTGAAATAGGAGAGGGAGGTTATTGTGAAAAATTATCGCAAAGTGAATAAGTTTACTTGGATAACAGGGGTGGTACAAAAAATACTAGGAAAATGTACATACATTGTTAAAATTCCTGAACTTAATAAAACTTGGAAATATTATACGAATCAAATTAGAAAAACTACAATACAAAGTCATTTGCCCAACATAGAAGTTTCCACCGAGAATAACCCATCATTACTGAGCGATGAATCATGTAGTTCATCTGTTATTCCTGATATTTCTAATGATGTTGATGGAGTATTAGAAAGCCAAAAACTTTCTTTCCCAAAAATTAATCACTCCTAAAAATATAACCCCAGATCGTCTTACATATGACAAGTAGTTTTTTTTTTGTATATAGTTATAGTAATGGTTTCAATTGGTATCGGAGAATTTGATATATTCACGAGTTTTTCTAATGACAATAAAAACTCGCAAACATATGAAAAACCCGAATGCGAATCGAGGTCATATTGCTGGCCATTCAGAAATGAACGTTTGAAAAAGCGGTCACTTGTATCCCGAAAGACGCCAACCACATCGAATTATGTTACGGGATCAAAATTTCACCTAGTTTGGTTCATTTGAGAAGCCGAGGAAAAAATACGGAGACAGAATAAACCAGGAAAGTAAAGAAAATTTGATGAATAAGGTATGTATGAGGTAAGTTAGACGTTGTGTTCTTTTCAATAAAAATTAATAATTTGCAGATAAACATGAACCCGGGGAAATCTACATGTCAAATTTCCTCCGAAATGAATATTTGTCATACAAGTGCTTGGAGGGGCATCTCAAAAAAAGAGGTGTCTTGATATAGAAACCCTGCTATCTGCTATCACCCTGTATACAGGGTGTCCCTGGAATCCAGTGGAATTAAATCTGGGGATCGTGGTGGTCATACTACGAGAGGGCTATTGGGTCCTATCCATTTCATAGGTAGATTCCTATTCAACCAAACCCTTGTTATGCCACTATTGTGAACTGGTGAACCATCTAACTGAAAAATCATGCTGTGTCTCACATCCAAAGGTAGTTCTTCCAACACATCGGAAAATGCATTTTCGAGAAAATCAACCAATAGTCGTCCGTTTGAATTTTGATCGAAAAAAAATGGCCCGATAATATTCTCGTTCAGGATACCACACCACACATTAACTTTCTGATATATTTGGTCTCTNAAAGAAAAATATTTTTCATTTTGTAACTTCGAGGGCCCGTAACTTGGTTACGAAGACTTTTAGGAAAAAAAGTTATATGAAGTACTGGTGATATTTTGACCCCATCTATACATTCCCGAGAGGAAAAGAGGAAGTCCAGGGACACCCTGTATATAAATTTATTATACTGCTGATATAAACAAAGTTGTCAAAAAAGTTACTTGTCACGTATCTTCTTATTTGAAAAACCATAAAATACAGTCAAATCCATTCCACTGAATACAGTCACATTAGTGGTCCTTCGAGCAAGTAATTCAAGAGAATCCATCCATGGAGAAATGTCGAGGTGTTTGCCAGTGAGAAGTGAAAGGATAAAGAAAGGGATAATCATTGAAAGGTATATGGCAGACAACTGCATTACAAAATCTACACCAACCGACTATCCTACTTCATCAGTTGAGTGTCTCAAAAGTCAAGCAAAGGGGAGCGATAATGCACTGTTGAGTTTTACTCATGATGTTGAAAAAATCATTAGCACTCTAGGAAAAAACTTTCGACAGTCCTGAAGTTATTATCCAAAATCTCATAGATTCCGTGGCGTCAATTTTCAATTTGAGAGATGATAGGAAAATATCTTGGATTTCTTCAACAAAGGACAGAATTTGGAAGTTACAATAGAAAGTTTGAACAGACAAGGATAACTCTCGAACCATTAATTATTAAATGATATAACTAATAAGAAAACTCACGGCTGGTTAGAAAATGGAATGGGGAAGAAAGGTGTTCGAACTGAAAAAGTCCAAGAAACTTGTTGATATTGTGAAGTTTTCCATATGGCTACAAGAAATCAGTGAAGCAGCAATGTATGTGACTAATCCAGAATTTGAACAATCTGAAAAGAAATGTCTGTGCACCATATCTACTAGAAATTATATAACTGTTAATAAGTGCAAATTTTTTAATAGGATGGACATAAGATTAAAAACGCGACGAATTTCGTGATTTACATGTTGAAGACGCTGGAAATGTTCATTTGAACATCTTAGGCTATTTCACAAAATCGAAATCGTAATCAAAGAAGAATTGATTCATTGTACAAATTTCAACGATAAAAATGTATTGTATTGTTGCTGTATGTATGTATTGCTCTTGTTGAAATCATTGGTCTCAGAAAAACAGTTGAAACATATGCACTTTTTGAAAACCTATCAAGTAAAACAAACACAGAAAGCAATCTCAGGAAAAATGACAGTACTAATAGGAAATAGAACATTTCCTGACTCGAACTGAAATGTTTGAGAAATGATTTCTATACTGTACACGTATAAGTGTATACTACTTGCACTACACTGTAGTCCCACTTTTAATGTTGAAGTAATATAAATATAGTTTATAAAACTTGGAACATCGAACTGAAAAGTTGAAAATATTTTTTTTAAATAAGCTTAGTCGATATTTTTTCCAAATTTTAACTTTTTGTCTTTTTTCGGTTTATTTATATGATGTCGTTAAGTGATTTTCGGACAATTTTTCTCTACGAATTCTTGTTAAACCAAAGCGGTGCCGAAGCAGCCCGAAAAATTAACCAGGCACTTGGCAATGATAGTGTTAATGAACGCTACTCGACATTGCTCTGCGAAAATTTCGGTCGAAATTTTAGCCTCGAAAATGGGCCCAGAAGTGGCCAACCTACAGTAATTCAGGACGAGGATTCAAGTACCCTGGTGGAGACTGATCCATCACAAACGCTGCGTGGGATCGTGGAAGAACTGGGCGTCAGCTCCTAAGCGACTTTTGATGGTTTACAATGTATTAGGAAGGTCGAAAACTTCGAAAAGTGGGTTCCCCACGATTTGAGGGTTTGACAGAAATTGTCACGTTTCGAGGTATGTTTTTCTTTGCTTTTGCGCAACCAAAACGATCCTTTTTTGAATCAACAGGAGACATGACAGTGGTTGGACACCGATGAGCCAGTCAAGTACACCCAAGGTTCAAATCCTGCTCCACGACAACGCCCGTCCGCACTTTTCACAAATCACCGTCCGAAAATTAAACGAAGTTCTGCCTCACCCAATATACTCCCCAGACCTCTCGCCAATCATATCTTCAAGCACTTTGATAACTTTCTTATGGGTAGAACCTTCGCCAATCACTGACTCAAGTTCAAGAAATAAAAGAGAGGTCTTGAGTTCTTGAAATAACTTAAAACAAAATAGATTGATATATATTGATGTTATTATATATTTAATTTTACCTGAAGCAACTATAAGGTAGAATCCTATTCCATATGTTACAGATGAGACGACTTTGGGGTAAACCTTAGCTAAGGAGTCTTCCAGAAGTACTACTATGTAGTATGAAAGTGCAATGATAACCATTATCCAAATTACTGAAACAATAATACTATTAATAGGTACTGAGAGAGCCAAAATAATATATTTACTTACCACTACAAGTGGCCATTATGGCATATTTTCTGAGAGATTTGTACAACAAGTGTTTTGGTCCAATAATTTCCAGGAAGAAACCCATGAGAGCAAATATTATTGTCATAAAACACAATAAAATTGTAATTCTCATCATGTTTACAATTTTTGAGTTGACACAATCATAATCTGAAATATTGAAATCATTTTAGAATAAACTCAATTATCTTAAATAACCATACAATTTAATACAGTTTTGAGAAAATCATGAAATACTACATTCACAGAGGTATTTGAAAACAATAAGATACTAAAGTTTTGAAGTAATCAAGTAGTAGTGCAACACCGTTATTTTAACACCTCGACACGTGTTTCGATTGAGATTAGTTAGACAAATTAACGAAAACAGGCATCTAGATGCCTACGAGAATGTAGAAATAAATAAACATAATAATATTATGAATAAAGATGGTGGCCAATACCTAATAGTACTATAAATTGCATGATCTACACATCCATGTATAGAGTTACTTCCTTCCTTTCTTTGGAAGACTTCCTCATTCTTCTTTTTTTGTATCAAGTTGGAGTAGTAGAAAGCCAAAAACTTTCTTTCCCAAAACTTAGTCACTCGTAAAAAATATAACCCCTTCAATTTAATTTAAGACACTTAAGACACAGGTACCTAGCTGAGGTATCTATGGTATAAATAAGGATAACATTTTACTTATATTTAGTTTAATCTTCCTCTGGAAGATGTTTACTTGGAGATCAAAACACGTGTCGAGGTGTTGAAATAACGGGGATAAAACTGCAGTAATATTCATTACTACACCAAAGGTTCCAAATAGTGCATTACGATCTTTCTAGAGTAATAATATTCATTTATTTATTTTTCTATACACATATGGATTTTTTAGTCTTCCAAAGGCTGAAAGAATATTAAATTCAGAATAGGATGAGTTAATAAGTCAATTATTTTGTTAGGACAAACTAGAACTATTTACACTTGTTTTTCTTTGTAGTGACTTATTGGTAGTATCAAGCAGCTTCTGTGATTTTTCTGTGTTTAGCTTGAGTATGTTTGTAATACACATTTTTGTACAACTGTCAAAGTGACATTTTTAATGGTTGTCAAGAGTATGAAAAGATGATGTTTACAAAGTAGCTTGTTAAAAATATTTTTAACACTAGTGTTAAAAGTATTTTTGATACTAGTTTTGAAAGTATTTTTAACACGATTTTTTCGACCAAATAGCAATAAACAAAACATAATTATTAAATTTTCAAGGAAGTTTTATTATGATCAATGTAGAGACAATTGAATTCTGTTACACATGTAACATTCTCATCATGGTATCCCCAAACGAATTATCGTTGATAATGGTACTGAATTCAATAACTTTCTCATTTCGGAACATTTCGGACACAGAGTCAAAGTTTATTTCATATCGCCACACAATCCGCAATCCAATGGAATGATAGAACGGTTCCATTCTACCATTCTTCTAGAACACATTCGTCTACTCAACACTAGAACACACTAGATCACAAGGAACGATCAAAACTCTTCTATTCCAAAATAAACTCGGATCTAATAAAGCGGAAAGAGAAGATAGATAGTAGAATGTGAAAATAAAAAACGCGATGATACCATTGTATTCAAAACCAAACAAAAAGTTTAGGTGAAAAAACATATTAGGCAGAAGGATGCAAATAAATTTCAAAAACCAACTCAAAAAATTGAAACAGTCGATCCATACAATGAAAACAGTTTCTACAGAAAACCAACAAAAAATTCACATGGACAATTTAAAACGTCCTCTCAAAAATACCCATCTCCCATTGAAAATTGATTCACTTTTCAGATTATCTGGAACTCTCGGACTCCAGGAAAATATATCTAAACAAAACCTAAAAAACAATCCAGGACTTAATCTTCTCAAACTTGGAACAGCCAAAGTCGAAACGCAAGCATATTCAGTTATTCATTATTATGATTTGAATCCAATAATAATCTGAAATTCCACTCAAAAAATGTAAGGACACTTGTAGGCGGTCACAAAGACTACTCATGGGACACATCTGACTATTTAAAAAAATTAGAATTTTCGGAAAAGGGGGTGACTGATCAATATTTTACCACATCCACTCAGAACAAAACGCGGTCTTATAAACGGCATTGGATCTATTTTCAAGTCAATCACAGGAAATTTAGATTCCAATGATGGTGAAAAACATGATCGTCTGATCAAAGAATTACAAGATAATCAAAATAATTTAGTAACGAACAACAAGAAGCAAAACTCACTCTCAATCTCATTAATTGATCAGTTCAATAGTACAGTTCAGCAAGTGAAACATAACAAAAGGCTTTTGGAATCAAAAATAAATCAAATAGCAAAAATTGTTGAAAATCAAACGAATAAAGAAAACTCTATGTTTATCAAAGACATCTTGAATCAGATAATCAATACATCTGAAATAATGAATTCAATTTTGCAAGATAATTATCTATTTTCTATTCCGATATCAACTAAGGGTCAGTTTAAGGCTGTTGTACCTCAAAACAAAAATTTGTCAAAAAACGAAAAATTGTATGCATTCTTGAGCAGAGGACAATCCATGCGAAATCCAGCTACTCAATGTCCAGAACACCTCCAATTGTAAGGAGACAATTATACATTTGTTGAGACCAGCCATCAGACAACTCAAACAAATGGGTTGTCCTCCTACCGGCTCAACAAACTATCAAACTCAAGTGCCAGAACCAGAACGAAATCGAGAATCTACTACCTGGAAGTTATCTTTTCGACATTCCAGTTGGATGCCAGTTATCCTGTGGCATCCTGTGGCATCCAAATTATAACCAACGATCACCAAGTTACCAATAGTGATCCAATCATCTTACCAGACTTGGACGAATGGAAGCCAGAACCACCCAAGTCAATAGATATCCAACTTGATGACCTGAACCTGAATGAATTTTATTCAATAAAAACAGCGATAATGGAAAACGAACAGATTATATCCTTCAAAGACGTAGCACATATCCCAAGTTTTTGGACGATATTTGTCTACCTGGTCCTAGTATCAATTTGTTTGAACCTAGTGTACAAGAAGATTGGCTCCAGAGGGTGCAAAACCAAAGGACCATCCCAACCAAATCCAAATTTTATATATTTTTTCTTTAAGAACAAAACGCAAGCACAACAAGAAAATCCTTAAGGTGCTCTAAGATCGGTGCCTGTGTTTTATTTGAGTCTCATTTATACAGATTATTAATAACAGTAGTCCTAAAATATAGCCTTTCGGTGCGCCAAATATTACATATCTTAAACCGCACAAGCTGTCGTTAAAAAAGACGTCTTGGAGATTCATGCAGATATCATTGATTAGAAAGTGTTGAAGTCATCCCCTTCATTGCGTAGTAGTTGATTTTTTTCCAAGAGTATATTATGAGAAACACAGTTGAAGGCCTTAGACAGATCACAATATCTCTAAAACTCTTGTTGCTGCATTCAATCTAAATTCAAATTGTCAGTTATTATTGTGAAAGAGTCCCACAGTTTTCTGGTGTTACAAATTTTGTCATATATTACTCACGTTACAACTAGAAAAATTAGAATTGAATTGATGGAAAATCAATCAAGGGTGAAACATAGAGAAATGAAATGTGTGCAATTTCCAGCTACCAAGACAGGATATGCAGTGTGAGCGATTACAAACCGCAACACTCTGTTATTTTGGAACCCATGGACCGATTTTGAAAAATGATAATTTCAAATTATGGTACTGGACGAGCTCTATTCTAATATGTTGACAGATATGATTTATTCTCATTTTCAAGGCTTACTGTGACCTGCAAGGACCATAAGGCATTTTTTTATCGGAAAAGTGGATACCCCATTCGATTTGGGCATATTTCGAACATCTAGATTTCAAGTTTCAGTACACAGGGTATATTTTTTGACTGACCCTGTATGTAAGTCTATGAACTTTACAGAAAAGATGAAGTAACCATTCAATGAAATAATACCGCGATGGTAGTGCGCCCGACTCACAATCGGAAGATCGTGGGTTCGATTCCCGCCTCCACCAGATATTTTTTTCGAAAGAATTTATCTGGTTGAAGCGGGGATGATTCTGCATCCGTGTTAGGAATCACACGTTAAAAGGTAAGACCTCGTTAGTCCTTAGCTTGCACAAGTTTCTCAACTTCTGAGAGTTGTCGTTCGTATGGGGGCGACAGCTGATTAACGGAAAAACAGATTTTAAAAACAGATTTTTCAAGATACTCAGCTACCAAGTTACATATGTTGTAATCGTTTCATGGAGTTGTCTCTAGTTTAATTAAAATCAACATATCAAAATATGAAAACGTGTTTTTAATTAAAAAAAATACCAAAAGAAATAAATTAAATGATGAATGGGACAGTTTTTTCAGATATTGCAGTATTCAATACATCCTCCTTCAAGTTCTATACATTTTTCATAACGTCGTCTCAAATTCTAGCGAGTCTTCCTTAATTGGCCTGGTGTTATTTCACCATACTGCCTTATCCTTTCCTCACAGAAAAAACCTAATGGAGTCAGGTCTGGTAATCGAGGGGGCCAACAAATAAAAGGGCTGCTTCTTCCGAATCTATCTTCCTTCAATTTTTCATCAAGATATTGCCGCACAGAAATCACATTGTGAATGGAGGCACCGTCTAGCTGAAATATAACATTTCTACGTTCTTCAATGCTTAGTTCTTCCATGAAATCCAAGAATTTCGTTGTCAAAAATTATAAAATCCTCCACCGTTTTGTGTGTTTTCGAGAAATACACTGGACCTATTATACGGTTTTTGAATATTCCTACCCAAACATTGATTTTTTATGAATATTGTCATTTTGCATTTATCAATCTGTGTCGATTCTCTCTTGCCCAGTGCCTGGAATTCTGAGTGGACACTGACCGTTAGTGGTAAATCTCGCCTCATCGGTGAAGAGAGTATTGCTCAGAAAGTTATTATAATTCAAATATTCACCTTGTCAAAATAAACAGAATTCCAACCTTCGTTCCTCATCGCCTCTGCCTAAAGTATGCATGATTTTCGGTTTGAAGCAAATAACTTTTTTTCAAACATATAAGTATTTTAGATATATTAACGTGTAAATCACGTGAAATCTGCCACAGGCTATTATTC